CAACCAAAAATAACAAAAACACAAAAAGAAAACATGCAGCAGCGCTGCAGCACCCGAGCGTACCGACTAACAGTTACCCTGTAGCTGTAATAAATGGGGATACAGAAGCTAAGTTAATTTCGAGTATATGATTTAGATATCTTTGTTTTTTATTCTGCATCTATTTGTTTTGAGCGCCTCCAATACCCTATATTGTCATAGAATATGCTTCGACTTAGCAAGTTTCATCACAGAGAGCTAAGAGTTTGCCCGCTGGTGGGCAGTGCTCAATGTGTGCAGGGTATAGCGAGAAACAACTGCCAGCCGAACGGCAGCGAATAGCCAAAAAGAGTTTTTGACCATGCCCAACATCGACAGCAACAACAACAACAACAACAACATGCGCGCATACACTGACCAAAGCTTGGCACAGATAGAAATCTGAAGATCTGACATTGATATAGGGGTTATTGAAGGCTACGTGCTCTTTAATCTTGACAACATTAAGCACTAGAAATTGGGAGTTTCTATTCAACTTTCCATCCCAGGGGATAGTTCAAAGAAAATGTTAACTTTTGATATGGTGTCAGAAAATGGAAAGGGAAAGGAAAAACTCAGTGAATAATACTAGAAGCTCTTTGACTGCACTGAAAATGGAAAATCAAATAAGGGAAAATCTTAGTTCTCATCGATGACATCTATCGATAATTAAACTTGATTTCTGAATGTGGAAAGTGGAAAGTAAAATTAATATTACAGAAATGTTTGGTATCAATATATGAAATATCTTTAGATACCAATCGATAAATTGCATTTTCCTTTTCACTGTAATTGATATGGAAATTAATATTTTAGAAATTTTTGGTTCCCACTGATGTGTAGATGCGAATCGTTAAATTGGATTTTTTCTTCCCTTTTATGCCCAATGTGAAATGTTTGTATCAAAGGTTAGCCTTGAATAGAAGGCACGCCTGCATTTTATCGGGTTTTGCTTGGTTTGTATTCAACTAAAATATCTTTAATCTATAATCTGCCAAACAAAGACAGTGAAAATCCGTTTTCCGGGTAGCCTTTTCAGTGAAGGGCTGCGACTTAACAAGAAAAAAAAAAAAAGAAAATGGAGAGAAAAATAGCAAAGCAGAAAAAGAAAATTTCTTAACACAGCAACAACGACAGCAGCAGAAGCAGCAGCAGTAGCAACACCAACAAATACAAATCACAGTGTACTCGACTCGAACAACCTGTGCCGCCTCAGCCCCTCAGTCATCAATCCCCAACCCTAAATCGTCAACCCGCTCTGCAGCTCGCGTTCGTCCTCGATGAACCCTTGAGTTTATGCTCGTTTAGCTGGTTTGTCGATGTGTTTTTTTATTTTAGATTGAGGGGGGGGTTTATTTTTATATACTTTTTTAGCTCTCGAAACATCGTGGCATAAAGATTATTATGAAAGTATTTTTGCTAAGCTTTCGCTCAGGCTGCGCACTTGCCGCCTACGTGGGCCTGGGGCTGGGAGCAGGAGTCGCGAGGCAGGCAGCAGGAGGCAGCAGGAGACAGAGCTTGTGCATATGCCAGCATCCGAGCATCGAGCATCCATCTGCTGAGTGTCAGGCACTCAGCTGGCTCCAAGTATGCATGCACGACGAGCGCATCTTCTCGGGCTCCCACTGCACATTTACCTTAACGTTATTAGCGAACCTACTTCACGTTCGATCTCTCGCTCGACGAATTAAAGCACAGCCATTTAAGCAAAATCGCTTTAAGTCCCATTGCCAGCAGCTGACCCAACTGCTGTCAAGGCTATCGTTTGCAACAGCTTTCGTGAGTCAATCACATGGACCGCCTGTCTGTTTATCCATCCGTCTATCAATCAGGCAAGCAGTCGGCAAATCATTTAAGAGAGTTTTCTACTTCAGCTTTAATTGAATTCCGCTAATGAGCAACTGAATCTTGGGCATGGAAATTAAAGTAAATGATGCCTGTTATCGATATATCTTATGTTATTGATAATATCGAATTGTGACTTACTATTGATACTTTTAAGCTATGACTATAGAAAGCTGTTTAATTATATTTAATTATTAATTTATTTAAGTGGTTGTCGATAACAATATTTCGAATATCGATAACTAGTACGACTACTAATCGATAACAGTTATATATGTTACGCATGCTGATTGATAGCCGATATTTCAGGTACATTTTCAGTTCCATGATATTGTCGATTCCCTAAACAGTGTATTTAACTAAAGTAAACTATCGATAAAATTTCGATAAGGAACACATTGCATTTGGCAAGCAGTTTATTAAATCACCCCGTAAAAGTTCATAGTTCTTTATATCAGAATCTAGAGATTTCTTTAATCGATCATTTATCGATAGATAACCTAATCTTATGAACCAGCAAAGTGCATACACTTGGAGCCATTGAATAGAGCAAAATTACACAGAACTCGAAGACATATCAATTTATATTATTGGATATGCTGGATTCCTATACTAAATTCGTTTAACTGTCGTACTTTAACGGCAGCTGACACAGCCCTGACTTATCGTTAACACATCTCTTAACGTTTGGCTTTGAGGCCAATACCATTGGACGAAAGGGAGAGCTGTGAGCAACGAATAGATGAATAGCTAGAGTCCGGCCCGAGTAATTCATCAACGTAGCTGAGTGACATCGATAACGTTAAAATTTTACAGAGCACTCAGGATGATGAAATGCTTATCAGGCACACAAGCAGTGCACACATGCACTCTTCAACCACAGCTTTGTCTATCGATAACATATCGATTACACAGTTGAGCAAAAAAGAAAAACGAAAACAGCTTCAGTTTCGTTGGGTGCCGCGTGCAGAAACTTGGGCGACGCCATTCCACAGTTTGGTGGTTGGGCGTGGCATGTGGCTTAGGGAAAGCCAGCTCGAATTTCACAGCGGTTGCCATATGGCTCGCAGGCAGTGTAGAGCAAGTCGCTTTTGGGAGTCGAACAATGGTGGGAATGCGATTTCGGCTCTGGCGCGGCACATCAAGTGCATTGGCATAATGCAAAGCTGTTGCATAAGTGCATTTGCCTGTTATCCTGGCGCCTAACTATGTGTATCCAGGCCACTTGTTCGCCGCCGGAGAATCAATTTAGCGTGAGTAAAGTTCTGCTTCTGCTTCTTATACTATTTTATTTTATTCATTTTTTTATTATTATTTTTCTCTTTTTTTTTTTTTGGCTGCCTGCCTGCGGTGCCTTGTGGCTTGTCATGTGCACGAAGCTCGACTTGGAGTTGTTTTGCCTGTTGTCCCTGTTGGTGTTTGCTTTGTTTTCGCTTCTCTTTTCTGTTCAGCTCTTATTATTTTTGTTTTTGGGCATGTGGCGCAATTATGGCAGCCGTCGAGTAACGTTACCATGGCCCAACTCCGCTCTATTAATCAAAAGTTATACAAAAAGCCAGCAAACTGCGCCACAAGAATCCGAGTGACTTTGCCTCGGCGGCTGCTGCTCCTTCCGCTGCTGCTGCTTGTTTGCAATTTAACTTTGCTTGAAGCGCAGCCTTCCAGTCGAAGTTCGGGATCAGGCTGGGCGTAAAGCAAGTTATAATATTTTATGAAGGCTACATCCTGTCTGGGTCGCCGACTGGGGTATTGGAGCCCAGCTCCGATTTCGTAGCTATAAATAAATAAAGCAGCCCGACACACAATCAAAAACCAATGAAGCACACCAGCAACAGCAACCGCAAATGACAACGGCAGCCGGGAGCAGGAGGAGCAGGAGTAGCAGCAGCAGCAGCAGCAGCAGTAGCAGGCGAAGAGCTGGCCTTATCAGCAGCTGCCCCATCTTCCTCAGTGCCATCATCATCATCATCACCAGCCGCAGCCGCAGTAGTAGCATGCACGTCATCGGCAGCATCATCATCGTGTCGGGTTATCCTGGGCCAGGTCCTAGCACATTTTTGCGGCCATTTCATTATTTACTTTGTTGCCCGGCTTCCAATCGAAACAAATAACCTAAGCGAACCATCAAAGGACTCTCAACTCGACTTCAATCCATTTGCCCGACTTAATTCATGTGGTTTAACTAGTTCGCTCTCTCTCGCCCTTTCCGCTCACACGCTCTCTCTCTCTCTTCTCTCCTATCTCTTTCTCTCCCACTACGTATGTGTGTGTGGCTCTGCAGTTCAGTTGTTTGCTGCTTCAATTTTATCGACTGACAGCACTTTTGAGATATGCCTGACATCTATTTCTGTCTGGGCTTACTTCAGTTGTGCAATATCTCAACGCTAGATGGCGCCTTTCGTTGGCAAAATTCCTGCAAACTGATTTGTTTAGGTTAGCTTCGATTTTCTGATTTATGGCCCATATATTACGGAGTAAGCTCATATGTAAAAGCAAAACACGAATAAAAATATTGATTGCTGAAATACACTTGCAATAAATTGAGAATTTGTGGTTAACGTCGAGCAGCAATATACGATTGATGTGGTGAGGTTTTTGTGCATTTTAATGGGATCGAAAAGTTGAAACTGTAACTTGTGCTTCCTCTTCGTAGGGCTAAAGAAAATCTTTCGTTTTTCTTAAAGCTTTCCTGCAATGGAAATAACATTTTATCTGTGACGGTCTCTATGCCATAGCAGGGCTGGGAAACTATTGATAACACTACCGAAGTATCGAATTTGTTCCCATCTGTGCCACTATCGATGGTTCTAGTMCCTATTGGTAGTCATGAGCAATTATAAAATCACGTAACAGTTTATATATTTTATATTAAAAAATAATTTTAAATACCAACAAAAAAAAAAAAAAAATAGCAATCTTCACGATTTCAAAAGATTTACTGCAAATTTTCAAAAGCTTTATCGATAGTTTACTTGCACTACTTTGGCATAGAAATCAGCGCATATCTAAGTTGCAAGTGTTGGAAAAAACGCATGCAAATGCCAATATTTTCGATAACAAGGCATTGAAGTATCGATAAAGAGATAAACTTTTACTAAAACCACATTGACGTGCAACAGAGATTGACAAGCAGACGCGAGTGACTCGGCTAATTCTTAGAGAAAAATGGACATATTTTACTCACCATCCCCATTCCTGCCGATGGCCATTATCGTCGAAAGCATCGAGGTTTGTCTAACCAATTTGAGCCACAACACTCTGAAGGTGCGCTGTTCCACTAATTTTCGTAGAGCCTACTCATCTACATACTTACTTACTTATTGTTGTCAGTCTGTAACCTAAAATCAAATGTCATTTCCAATGAGCAGAGGAGTTTTGTTTTTCCGTTCACATCGGCTTAATACACTTTGCGTAGTTGTCTACAAAAATTTTTAATTTTTTATTTAAAACTTTAAGAGGATGAGACACATACGCGACTTTAGAGAAGCAATTCGCGATTTGATGCATCGCTACGTGAGCATCGAGCAGTTCTCCATTTGGCACAATCGTCACGCTTACAATCGCCGCAAATATGTGATCCAGAGTACCATCAAGAACTGGATGCCGTGGCTCTTTTGGTTCTTTGCAGTGTACAGTGCCTTGGGACTGGTAAGATTCAGAAGGTGTCGCGTCTCATTTGATCCCAAGCAAATCGTTCGTTTCAGATTCATCAGTTCTTTCAATTCTTGCGCGCCAAACTAATCGTGGATCGTCCTGTGGGCATGTGGCGTGAGCGCTATTTCTATGGGCTGCGCGACGAGACCATTCGTCAGATGCGCATCTTGGGCAGCATCATCATGCTCCTCTGCTGGCTGATGCTCTTCATTGGTATTGTCTGGGTTCGTAATCATCATGTACCATCAAATAGAACATTTGCGAATTATTATTGCTTTCTTAGAGCAAACCCAAATGCATAAAGCCGTGGCTGACAATAATGGGCGTGATCTTACCTTTTGACTTTGTTCTATGGAGCATGGAGGTCATCGTTGGATTGGAGCGGTTCACTTGGCAGGGCCTTGTTAGCTTTATGCTGCCCTTCATCTGCCAAATTGTGCTGGGATTTATGAAAGGTGCTCTCGAGGAGCCCACCAGGAAACTGTTCCAGATATGAACCACTGGCCACAGCCGACATTCCAAGCTTTCGACTGGATTTAATAAAGTAATTCCACTTGATCAGTTCTATTTGGGGTTTGAAGTCAATTTTCTAGTTTCGAGTAGCTCAATTGGAAGGGAAAGTTTTGCCAGCTGTATTGCTGAAGCTCCAGTTGCAGAGCTGAGCGGGGGCAAGGAGTCACTTATGTGAACTAGTTCAGCAACAGTCTCAATGGCTGCTCAACTCAGTCAGCTTTAGCTCTGTTCTCTAACTTTAGTTTCAAGTTTTAACTTGGCTGGCTGCCAGTTCCGAAGCTGGTTCCGAAACTAGTTCCACTTGCATTTTAAGCTGCTTTATGGCCCTGTTTTTACCCAATTTCATGGCTGCGCTGATTCAATTTTAATTACGCGACAATTTGACAATCCTCCTCCGCCTACCACCCGGCGTTACATCCGGCTTCCTTCAGCCACTCTCCCCCTCTCTCTCTCTCTCTCTTAGTGTTTTTCTGTCGTCGACCACGATTTGCCCTTTTTCTAATTTACTAAAATTGCGCGTGGTTTGACTTTTGTCCCGGAGCGTTGCGTGGGCGTCCAAAACTTAATAAACGAAATGAGCGCCCGGAATCGTTGCTCTCCTCTATCCTTCCCCAGCTTAGCAGTTCCGTTATCTGCGGCGCCGACTACTGCCCCTGCCGCCTGCTCTCAACACACCCCATAGCCCCCACTCTCGGCGTTTGTGGCTCTTTTGCAAAGTTTTGTGTTTAATTTAATTTACTTTAACTCGATTTCGTCCTCATGAATTCGCGTTTAGCGCCTGCGACAACTTTTTAATTGCCAGGTGCCTCACATGCGACAACTGATGTGGCTCACTCCGGGGCTTCCTTACTTATATGTATGTCTGCTCGTTGAGCTCTTGTCAGCAAATGTATTCAAATTGAGTTCATAAAATAGACACGCAGCCAATTAAACTGGTTGCTTATGCATAATCATTGCTTGTCAACAAAATGAGGGCCTAGAAAGAGCAACAGAGAGGGAGAAAGAATTGTCTTTGTCATTGTCATTGTCATTGTTATTGTCATTGTCATTGTCATTGTCATTGTCATTGTCATTGTCATTGTCATTGTCATTGTCATTGTCATTGTCATTGTCATTGTCATTGTCATTGTCACTGCATTAGGGTAAACGTCCCATTAAAATTTCTATTACAAATGATATCAAGCCTTCACTTTAATCTAGTTTCTTCTTCTTTTCCTGCTCTTTCCAACTAATCTGCATGCTATCTCTTTTCATCATGCTCTGAAGGGCAGATACAACCATGCTTTTGCTGGCAGAGCCAGCACGAGCTCTGCTGGCCGCGCAGTATCCTCCGTTGGCTTTTGTGTTGCCAATTGTAGCTGGATGAACAATGTTGCGTATACTTAATGCGTGTNGAGAAATATATGATTTGGAATTATCAATTTTGTCATTGTCATTGTCATTGTCATTGTCATTGTCATTGTCATTGTCATTGTCATTGTTATTGTCATTGTCATTGTCATTGTCATTGTCATTGTCATTGTCATTGCCATTGTCATTGTCATTGTCATTGTCATTGTCATTGTCATTGTCATTGTCATTGTCATTGTCATTGTCATTGTCATTGTTATTGTCATTGTCATTGTCATTGTCATTGTCATTGTCATTGTCATTGTCATTGTCATTGTCATTGTCATTGTCATTGTCATTGTCATTGTCATTGTCACTGCATTAGGGTAAACGTCCCATTAAAATTTCTATTACAAATGATATCAAGCCTTCACTTTAATCTAGTTTCTTCTTCTTTTCCTGCTCTTTCCAACTAATCTGCATGCTATCTCTTTTCATCATGCTCTGAAGGGCAGATACAACCATGCTTTTGCTGGCAGAGCCAGCACGAGCTCTGCTGGCCGCGCAGTATCCTCCGTTGGCTTTTGTGTTGCCAATTGTAGCTGGATGAACAATGTTGCGTATACTTAATGCGTGTACTTAATGCGGCGCGTTGCTCATACGCAACGTTGGCATTGTTTGTACCGGATGGTGGTGGTGCTCCTGCTGCTGTCGCTGCTGTCTTTTGTGAGTGACTTAAACGTTTGCACCATTTGACTTAATGAAGCTTAAAGACAATAAAATGCTAAAGCACACAATGTAGCTACAGTTGGGCCACGCCCCAAGCCGCCCACACTGTGCGTCGCCTGTCGAAGAGCAACGCGAGCAACTTTTGGCGGCCGCGCGTCATAATTTCTATGAAATTTTATACACTTTGATAAGCATTCAATCGGCATGCGAGTCACGTTCGAGCCAGCCAGTCAGCCATTTAGGGGCGGCCCTGCCACACCCACCCTCTTCGCCTATCCAAGAGCCCGGTCCGAAGATGTTGTTTGTGCTGTAAACTTTCTGGTGCTGGGGCCGGCCATGTAAATCAGGCCCGGGGACAATTAAACGCGCTGGTCACGACAACAATGTTAAGGCTAATGGAACTGAGAACTAGTAACTCGTGGCTGAACCAGGAAATCGGAACCGAACCTGTGGAGCTGCGCCACTGCGGCGCTGGCAACATGAGGCAAAGCGCACTTCCTTTTGCCATTTCCGTTTGTTGTCACAAAGTGTAAACAATTAAATTTTAATTAGAATTCGCATTGCTTGTCAGACACCAAACGCTTAAGATTGAAGCCGAGCTGTTGGCCTAGACTTCCCCTTTGCCGTCTGCCGTTTGCCGTTTGCCACTTGCCACTTGCCGCATGCCACATGCCACATCCGAGGCAGCCAACCAGGCAGACAGTCAGACTCATTTCCGGCCTCGTCTGCTGCGTAATTTATTGTTGTTGCCAACCAGCCCCACACCACCCACCCACCCACACACATATACAGACATACACACACCCAATAACCCCCTTAMCCTGGCCCAGAGCACGCATTGGGGCTGTAAATTTAACTCTTGGCACTTAATAGAAAATGGCCAGAAGCCTCTCATTTGCCACATTCGGTTTAATAAACTCCAGCGGTTTGACGTATTGCCTGGCTTAGTTTTAGCCACTTAACTGCCAACTGGCAACTGCGTGCCATGCGGCCCATGTCTACGATTTATGCTACCCAAAGGTGTTAATGCCACTTCCTACCTTTCAGGCTCAGACGTAACACCTCTTGCTCCTTGCCCCTTGCCTCTTGCCTCGTGCCTCTGATTGGCGCCTTTGGCCCGCTTGAGCTATGCGCCTTCGGGCCTGACAACTTCTTAAGTCGCATGATTTGTGCTGCGTTTCGTCAGTTCCAGTATTTACGCAAGGCTTACATAAATTTTGGGCATTAATGTTTCTCAGTACGCCGATATGAAATTGGACGGGATTTGATTGGACAGCAGCCGGTAAAACGTTTATGAATGCACAGAATATACAGTAGCTATAGTATTTGATATGGGAAATCTTGACAATTAGACTTGAATGACTCTTCAAATATATAGATTACGGCAAGTCGGTCGATAAATCGATAACAAATTGGTAGCTCATAGGTCAGGTATCGTAAGGTGCTCTTTGAGCAGCTCATAACTAAATTATCTGTTGCTCATGCATGCTTTACAATCGATATCGATATCGATATAATATAATCGATCGGCTGCACACATATCGATAGTTTTTGGTAAATCAATGCTTCAAATATGTCTGCCTGGTCAGTATCAATAATAATATTTGTATGCTAATCGATATCCATGTTATCGATAAATTAATTAATAATTGCTCTCAATTTTACATATGCTTCGTCTAAGCTCTAACAATAAAGCCAGATATATTAAAAATTGCGATCTAGATTATTCTAGTATATTCGATTGCATTATCGATATGTTGCCATGCAAAGCAGCTTACGCTACGTGCTGGAAGTTCTTCCTTTATCGTCATGTACATGATGTTATTCCCGTTGAATTCCTCTGCACTAACAATACCTTAACGATTATGCAATCGATACTCCTGCTTCGCTGAGCACAAGCTTTGACAGTGTAACTGGCGTGTGTGCGTGTGTGCGTGTGTCTGTGTGTCTTTGTGTGTGTGTGTGTGTTAGTGTCTGTGTGTATTAAACTTTAGACGCAAACATGTGTAATAATAGTCGTTGCGTGACAGCTGCCCCGTAACTTGATGCTGTTGCCATGTCGAACTACAATAACATCCATATAACTAGCTTAGCCACTTTAAAGCCATCCCCAGCCACCATCCTCCACCCACCATTCGCTTCTCTCATGGCCTCTGCAATTCCCTAAAGCCGCCCCCATCCGTTGGCTTGCTTTGCGTTTGCGATTTAGAAACTTCTGTTCAGCAGCAAAAGCAATAATAAAAAAATATATAAAAAAAAAAATAATAGAACAAAATTAAAATAACAAAAAACAAGTGCCCAAAGTGCTTGACTAACAGATGCCAACGGCCAGAGCCGAACAGCATCAGCTGGTTCACGAAACTGCAGCCCAGACTTAAGCTGGTGGCAAGCGAGCTTCGCTAAGCTGCAGCTCAGCTCAGGCAGACGAAGCATCAGCTCGGAGTCGAGCAGGGCTGCTCTTGCATTCGATTCCCTCTGGTCATATTATACCCTCTTACGCAGTCGATTATAATTACAGGGTATGTATTGCTAGCAAAGTGTACAAAAATGGGTAAAAATTGGCTCAGCTGCGGCTGCTGCCACGCCCACACACTGTAGCGCTGGGCAACTATGTTAAGCGGCAGCCACTCAGTTTTCTGGTCAATTTATGAGCAGTTGCTGCTGCACTTGCAGTTGCAATTGTTGTTGTTGTTATTGTAGAAACTTTTGCTGGCTAGCTGCAACAACAACAGCAACAACAACAGCAGCAACACTGGCTGCAGTTTATAAAGTAGCAACAAATAATTGACCACACACACACCCACACACATACAGAATGAGCGAGAAAGAGAGAGGTTAAGCCACATGAAAAAGTGTGCCACAAAAAACAAACACACACACACACCCATACACACACTCGTACACTCACACGTGTGGGAAAGCGCTCTCAAATAGCCATCATCATGATGATCATAGTTGTTGCTGCTGC